TGTCTCCCATTATACATGCATTGATACATATATGAATTTGTGATTAATTTGGCATAAAGATACATGACCGTTCATAGGTTATATGCAATGGCGATTTATTACTTAATTATATACGAACGGTCATGGACCTTATGATTAGCCGTAATGTTATATTAATTGATAAATGCATATATATTAATGTGGGAGTTTTTCCCATAATATTGAGTATTATGATACTAATTGTTTAAATTAAATGTGATCATGGGTAGAGCATATATTTTAATATGAAATTATGGATATAAAAGCTATATAAATTGGAAGTGCTTTTTTATTGTGTAATTATGAGCATTAATATGCACCATTGATATATAATTAATTGATGATCACTATTTTCTAACAATAAAAATTAATTAAATACATTTATATGTAATCTTTCCCTTGGTTATTGCATGATTATGGACACATTAAAATGATGTAGCCATTAGTTTTCAATGCAGTGCTACTAATGTTATTTAACTCTAATGGCTAGTAAAATGCTAAGTGCATTGGTCATGCCATTATATGTAAAATATTGTTCATAATCACATATTTTGTTAGTTGATTATTTTTGCTCTCTAATGAATCTTTAGTGAATGTTGTGTTGTCTTACTCATTTAGGAACCATGAAAAATTTCAAAACCCAAATAAAAAGAATAAAGAAGAGAGTTACCCAATTTGGTCCATGTAATAATTTTTTTTTTTAAATGGACATAAAATTTGGGTTGATATATTCCGGAAACGTAAGTTAAATTTTTTAAGTTTGCGTGATTGAGGAGTTATTTGTGGTGATAAAATGTGAGATGAGCTAATAAGCTCATGTGAGATGAGCTAATAAGCTCTTGTGAAATCTTGTGAGAAAATGAGTTTCTTCATGAACTCAATTATTTGAGGAATGTGAGAATCACATATTTGAGATGCTCCCAATGTGGGGGATTGTGATGTCTCTATGTATTATTATTGGTGATGAGACCAATAATGCTTAATTGAGATTTTGCATAGCATTCTTATTATACAATAAGGTATAATGGTGCTTAACAAAGCAAATGTGATACACACTCCCATTATACAATAAGGTATAATGGTGCTTAACAAAATAAATGCAATATGCATTCCTATTATACAATTATGGTATAATGGTGTATGATAAAAAAAAAATATATTAAGGCATTTGAGAAAAGGTGTATGTGATGGACATTCCTATTGTACAATAAGGTACAATGGTGTTTGAGTTAAAAATTCTTAAATACAGGTTTTGATATGTATGGAAAGAAAATGGTGGTTCACTAGCTTAATTTGATATCAAAAATTATTTTGATATAAAAAATTATGGTACCATGAATTGAGAATTTGAGAACTATGAATGTGAATTTTATGAGCTAGTAGACATGTGGGTTGATGTGAAAAGAAAAAGTGAGAAAAAGATTGAGTTAAATCTCTTCATTACCCACTTTACCACCAACTAGGCCTTTGGAAAAAACAAGAATTGGAGGAAAAACTATGATCATAGTCCAAGGTCTACTGCTCATCGAGGGGAATGGGATTCAAACCCAGTAATGTAGAACTTCCTATGAGGATTCACAACCCAAATTCTAAGAATTGGGTTTTGAATGGGAAAAAAAAATCGTAGAGAAGTCGTTGTTAAAAGATACATCAATATTTAACGAAAAAATTTCTAGTCTCATTCCTAAAGTGAGGATGCATCTATCTCATAACGAATTAAGGGTTGAGTTTTATACTCTTAATGAAATTTGTAGCTCATTGAGTGGGGTGTCTTAGTTATGGAGCACCCTTGACAAATTTCACCTATGTGGGTGTCAAAGTGAGGCCACTTCTGTGAAAATCGGATGAGTAATTTTCTAGATCACCCATGAAAACCAAGATTATGTGCAAGGCCATAATGTGCCAGTTGTGTGAAAAACTCAACATTCAGATCATTATATGTGTGATGCGATTCTTGTATCTTCCAATGGAGTCATAGTTCAAGACTTAGTTCCCTATTGACTTTGGATTAAAAATTGTTGACTCACTAAGTAAAAATTTAAGGTTTAGCTACCTTTATTATGCATAATAATCCATCTTTTCCCAAAAGAAAGGTTTACTTTTTATTAAAATAGTGGGGGAATTGTTGGAACTTAAATATTTTAATAAAAAATAAAATAATATATGTTATAAATTGAATTTATTATCCCATTAAGGAATTGGTAAAATTAGTCATTGTAGGTTAATTGTTTTACTTAAGGGCACATTATTTCATAATAATTGTCTAATTTATTTCTATCATTAACTTACAAATGAGAGTGACAAGACTATGAATCCTATAAATAGAACATGTCTATTTGCTCAAAAGAGGATTCCTCCACATTCTCCTATTTTCTTTACCTTGCCCTATTTTCTAAGTATTCTTGGGTAAAGAAAGATGTTTTGAATAAGATGACTCTATGGGTAGTACAGATCCATAGAATGTTATTATATGGTTATAGTATCTTGGGGTCGATATGCTAAATATATCTCTATTGGATTGGTTAATCTACTTTCCGCAGAAGCATGAATCATCTTAAAGTAAGTAAATTTTAATTTAATGCCTATTTCGATGATATTTTCTTATCAATATTTCTTAATTAATTTATTAATTATTATTTTATTTGATTTTGTGACTAAAGCACAACAATAATATAATGTGGAGATGAAGGAGAGTGTTTGAGGAATAACATGTTAAGTACTCTATCTCTGGTTAAGAAGGAGAAACAAATGAGGCAGAGGAATATATGCTTGCGCTACCTGTGGCTCAATTCGCAAGATGCATGTTGCCATCCTACAAAGGCTACATTAAATCCCTTTATTGTGGATAAAATTATTTAGGATGAATAGGTGTTCAAATTTTCTTTTATATTCATTAACTAAAATTATAATTATGACTTAATACTATTATATTTAGTAATTATCATGAGGTTCAATTAATTATAGCAGTAAAATTATCGAGAAGAGACTACTACAGACAAACAAGTACATCTTTCCAGCCTAGTTAATACTATTGGTTCTGCCTGCTGCTACATTGCTTGTCTTGCATTTCAAGCCAATTTTAACACAATGTATGACTGAATTTGAATTAAAATTTAATTACTGAAGAAGCATGGCTTTAGATGAATACAAAATTCATTTTCAACTTCCATCTCCCAACTTGTAGAAATTCAAATGGGAATACTTTTTGCCCTTAAACATCCCATTGAAATATTTTACAACATCAAAACCACTGCACAAAACAACGCATTACTTACTTTGGTCACAGAATTACCTCTCATTCATTCTTTGTTTAGGGAAGAAAAATTTGTTGTAGAAGCTCTTATTCCTTGAAGAAAAGCTTGTCATTTCAGTTGGCCAGATTGTTTCAAAATTTTGATGCTTAGTGCATTTAGCAAAGCTCTTGAATATTGTCGTGAAGCCATTTTCCAATCCATCCCTGTTTCCATCATTGACTTAAATTCTTCATAACTAATTCGACCATCCTGGTAAAATTTTAAAGTCAACCAAGAAGAGATTGCAAATCAGTTTTTATATAGGTCCTTAAAAATCCTAAGTTCATATCATCCACCCCATATTTTTATTAAAAAGATAATAAATAGGTGTTACCATATCCAAATCAACATCGTGCATAATGTCTTCAATAACTTGGTCGTTGTTTGGACCAAGGTCGTCATCTAGTAAGGCTTCTTTTAACTCATCGAGCTCAATGTAACTCGTTTTATTCTTGTCAAAGAAATGGAAGGCTTGGGAAAGATGCTCGTCATTGCCAATCCTTTTCAGGTGGATAGACATTGTTATGAACTCGTCACAGCTAAGTGTGCCATCTCCATCTGTGTCAGCCTTTTTCCAATAAATTTAAAACAAAAGAATTAGATTTAGTAATAATTTGTTCATGCAAAATAATTCTAGGTTATTTGAAAGAAGACAAAAATGCATATCAATTCTTACTTCCAACAAAGTTAAAGTCTCAATTTCAAAAACGCCATAGCTAATCAATATTTTGAAAAATCAATCATTAGATTTATACATGTAACAAGTTTATTATCCACACAAAATTTGACACCATTAATTATATGTTAGAAAATGTAATTTCTTAACTAAAGGGCTCAACATGTTAGATTAATTTAAAAAATTAATTTGCAGGAGTTACATGAATAAAACATTTGATCCAATTGTCAGAAATCAGGGTTAAATTTTTTTAAAATTCAAGATTAATATGCATTTTTCTTGTCATGTAAAAATTTTAATTCAAAAAAGTTTGAATTTATAATAGAGAAAAAAAAGTTGTAAGAATTGAAGAAAAGTTTAAAGCACTAAATAGGGATTTTTTCACTTTGCATAGAAAGGGAAAAGAAAGTATTCAATCTTAAATTGAAACCTAAAAATAGATAAATAAATAAGGTATCCAATAGTAAACCATTATGGTGTAAGACTAAAATTATCACAAACAACCCTAATCACAAAGCATTTTTTCTTTAAATCAGTATGAACTTACTGCATCCATCAACATTTGTATTTCAGGATCTGGAATAGAATGCCCAAGCTTGCGAAGACCATGTTTGAGCTCTTCAAATGTCAAGTTTCCATTTTCATCTATGTCCATCATATGGAACATTTGAATGATACTATTGATTTGTTCATGTGGCAAGTTATCCGCTACTACCTAAAATATAAAATATGAAAGAATATCCATTGAGAGTGAGAGTGAGAGTGAGAGAGAGAGAGAGATAGAGAGAGAGAGATATATATTTAAGAACTTACTCTCAAAACTTTCTTTTTGAACTTGTTCATCAAGGAGAATTGCTTAATCCTTGTTCTTACATTTTCTCCCAAAGAAACATTACGAGCTTGATTTGCATTTTGTATCCAAGGATGATCTTTATAGAAAACAAAAAAGAAATATTAGTTTATTTGTCCAATTATGTATGCACTCAAATGTATCTATAAAATTATACAAGTATGCTTACCAAGAACTTCATCAGCTGTCATCCTACTGTATGGATTTGGATCAAGCATGCTCTTCACTAGATCCTTTGCTTCCTCGGAAACCTTTGGCCAAGGGTCCCTTTCAAAATCTATGTTTCCTTTTATAATTGCATGTGCGATTCCTTCTTCAGTTTCTGCACTAATGATAGCAAAGATTTATTGGTAATTGTTTACAAAATAAGGGAATTTTTTGAATTTGAGGAAAACTTTATACAAGAAGTTATAATTGAAAGAGAAATTACCAGCCCAAAAGGGAGGAACTCCACAAAGTAAGATATACAAGATAACACCTGTACTCCATACATCAACTTCCTTGCCATAGTTACGTCTTAGGACTTCTGGAGCCATGTAATAAGGACTTCCAACAATATCGCTAAAAAGTTGACCTACAATGGTAACAAAGAAAACATTTGGACAATGTATATCTAAGTGAAAAATTCAGAGCCATGACAAATTGCATCAAGAGTAATTACATTACAATGAGAATAAAAGTGTACCAGGCTTGAAGAATATAGAAAGGCCAAAATCAATTGCCTTTATTTGAGCAGTTTCACTTTCATCAACAAATAAGAAATTCTCAGGTTTTAGGTCACGATGTATCACTCCATGTTGATGACAAACCTGTGTATTTAGAGATATATTCAAAGAAGTGAAAATCAAAGGCAACAATTGAGTAAAAGCTAAGAAACATTTATATATTTTTCTTTCTTTTTTTTTTCAAGGTAAGAAAAATATATGGTTTAAGCAAACTTATTGTTCTTTAGTAAAGAAAAATAATTGGTATACCCTATAATTTAACACACCTCTTGACACTTGCTCGATTCAGCCATTAAAATATAATATCAATATAATCAATTCAATCAATTTCTGTGTATTGTATTCATCACTACATTTATAAATTTGTTTATCTTTAATTTTACATTAAAAAATAATGAGTTTTTAATAAATATATTAAAAAATAATGTGTTGAAACAAATGGTGTACTAATCAGAGTTCTTCAATGAATTGAAGTAGCTATCCCATTATTGTAGAGATTGCCATAAGCTTCGCATGAAATACAGGGACCCTAATTATGCATCTCCATCAATATTCTCTTTGATCTCATATTTCTCTTTACTAAGTTTCCATTTTGTATCGAAAATGCTAGATTACCCACATTTTGAGCCTAAAGAAACTAATGTTCCATTCATCTAATTTCTTCCTTACCTGTGCAGCTATGTTTTAATTGTCATTTTTTAAAATAAAGGAGAGAAGAGAAAATATGTATTACTGTACTGACTATAATATTAAGATTTCACAAAAAAGGTTACCCATTTTATTTCCAGACCAGTTTTCTTTTTGGCATTTTTTCAAACACCTAACATGGAAAAATAACCATATATGTACAAGCAACAGAAAATGGAAAAATAAAGACCAAAAATTACCTTGACAATTTGAATAATGGTCTTGGTAACATTAGCAGCAGCACGCTCTGTGTAATGGCCTTTAGCAACAATTCTATCAAAAAGTTCACCACCTTTGCAAAGCTCCATTACAAGATACACAGCTTCCTTATCTTCATATGCCTCCTTGAAGCTAACAATATTGGGATGCTTAGGCAAATGCCTCATTATTTCCACCTCCCTTCTCACATCCTCCAAGTCAATCTCTGTTCGGAGCTTTGCCTTAGATATCATCTTGCAGGCATAAGTCTCCTTAGTGATGAGGTCGAAGCAATGGTATGTGATGCCAAACTCGCCACGACCTAATTCCTTTTCAAACCTAACCATAATTAACATTAATTAGGACTGATCAATTGATATTTACATTTAGTTGGGGGAAATTCATAAATATATATATGGGCACAAAAATCAATTTTATAAAAAAAATATTACTATTTCTAAAATTTTAATGAGATTTCAGCACGGATTACTATTTTTTATCTAAAAAAGTTGTTAAAAAATTTTGTAACTCCTTTAAAGAGGTTGTTGAGATACTATACTTCTGTTTTTTGGTAGAAAGATGATTTAACACTTATTCAATAAAGTTATACTAAGACCTATAATGAAAAAGTTTGAAGAGAGTTTTTACTCCTAAAATAAGTTTCCTCAATAAGAATTGTGTGAAGGTAGCTCGACTAGTCTCATAATACCTATTTGAATTGTTTGCATTTAAATGGTAATGGTAGAATTCAAATTTTGTGTTTCATCAAAGTTATCCTCCTTTCTTACCATAATCCAATGGGTTTAGTTCAATCCTAATTTAATAAATGTAACCCCAAGTTTTCACAAATTTGTTGGAATAAGGCAAAAAAAATGTCGTCCTTGAACCTTTTTCTATCTCTCTAATAGCTTTAGAGTGAGGAAGATGTTGGATGGTTAAATAGAGGGGCTCTTGAAGATTTTGCGGCTAGAGTAATATGCCAATACTCAAGTGGTGGTTACTAGATGTAGTGAGGTCTCTATCTTGTTGAAGTTGTCAACTACAAGCATGCCAAATAAGAAAGAATAGAGACCAAGAGGGCCTTGTCCTCCTGAAACTTTTAAAATCACCAATGTAGTCATTCCAGATACTTGTGTTCACTCTTAATTAGCCTTTAATTTGTAGGTGAAATCAACTCTTATTGCTGAAGATAAGGAAGTTAGAGTCTGATGATAATACCAATATTGGATTACCAATTTTAAAGCATAATTAGGATATGTAAAATTTGAGGGAAAAGATGTGTTTCCCAAGAAAGTGATAGAACACAAGAATGATTTGTAATTTTATCGATAACCATTTCGTACAAGTGCTAAAGAATAGAGTACAATGCCTAACTGTTAAATAAAAAAAAATGATGCTTTCAAGCTCTAAAACCTTTAAGAGTATGTTTAAGTTTTGGGAAATAGAGGAGAGGAGAGGGAATGTGAAGAAATGAAGGGATATGTGCATCTTATTCAGATAGCTTAAAATAAACAAATAGAAGGATGGTTTAATTTATGTTAAAATATCAATTTGGCACTCATCGTTCAAATTTGTACCAAATTCATCCTTGAACTTTAAAAAATATCAAAATTGTTGTCAAACTTTAATTTTTGGTATCAATTTCATCCTTTTACTAATGCACGTTAAGTTGTCATAGAATCATTTCTTATTTTAAAAATGAATGATGTATAAAGTAAATCACACTTATTTTTCTATATTGACATTTTTCCGCTTTCCACATCAAATTCCTATGCATCCCATCTATTTCAACCTTCTCATTTTGTGTGAGCCACATCAATATTGTATTTCCATTTTTTTTTTCACTTCAACTCCACAAGCATAGAAACTTTCTCCCTTTCTCTTTCTTTGTCTAATTGCAAACCCTAGTATTTGCCTTATTTGTGATTTGATTCAAGCATAAATCACCACCGAATCTCTTCAAAGATTGATTGAAGATGTTCTATAATGCTGCGTTAACATAGAACCTAATCTTGGAAGTGGAGATAAGAACCCAAAAGCACCAAAAGTTGTACTAAAGTTTTATATATGAATTTGATGAAATTAAGGATATGGTATGTTCTGTCTCTCGATAATGTGAACCTTTTTCTTACAATGCTTTTCTTGTTTAGCCTTAGCATGTTAGAATATGGTGGAATACGGGTTCGGTTTGTCAAGTCTGTGGGTTAACATTAAAGAAATAGAAGACATTAGAATCTATGATATTTTTCTTTGTTTTAGAGTGAAATTTGGTCCGCACATATATTGTGTATACATATATATTGAGTTTAAATTATATCACTAGTCAACTGAATAAACTTTTTTATTTAGTAAATTATTATTATATAAAATAATAAATGAATTGAAAGTAATGGTTATGAATTTAGTACTCTTCATTTGTTTAGGAATTGATGTACTTTTTATATTATTGAATTTTATAGATAAAAAAAAAAAATTAAGTTCTTAACTACTTATCAATGTGTATCCACATAACTGGTACTTTTTAAATGTGAGCAATGAAAACTTGATATATGTTTTTTTGAATGTTATACATGGAAAGTAAATCTTCATTTGTTAACTATGTGTGAGTTATATGATAAAGTTGGATTTGCTAGCTACGTAAATTGATGGAAAGTATTTGTTATTTTGAACTTAACAAATCAATGGATGATGGTTTGAAGCAAATTGTTGGCAATAATATTGTAGTTTCAAATGTGTCGAGGGATAATGGGAAAGCTCACATTTCTAACTTTGCTAAAATCATCCTTGTTTTAATGCTCCCAGCACCTAGTGATCATTCGGCATCTAAGGTTGCTGCTAGATATGATAATAAAGGTGTTGGCAGGGTATTTAGTGATGTTGGTAGAAGTAGAATCAATGAGGATGAGGCAGTATTGAGGTTAATGGAAGAAAGAACAATAATAGGATGAACAAGAAGGTTACAAGGAAAAAAACTTGAGTAGTGTGAGGGTTATGGTGAAGAACTTGAGGATGTGGCTGAAGAAAATAAGGATGAAGGTAGGTTTAAGGATGAGTCTTAAGTTGTATGACAATGAAGATAGGGAGATTGTTCAAGCAAGCAAGATAATTTAAGGAATTTCAAAGCAACTCAATTGCATGCCAGTATTACATTTATTTTCTAAATTATGAACACACAAAAAATAGCTCAAAAATTAGCCTACTGTACTTCTTAGGACAATAATGAAATTTCATTCCCATGTTTTGCTAAGTGAATAACGTTCGAATTGCAGCAAGCAACCCGTAATTACAATTGTACTTTGCAAATGTAATCGAATCCATATTTGGTGAAGAAAAATCCTCCATTAATCTTCGTCATAGACTTTGTTTAAAAAGGAGAGAAGCAAAACAAAAAGGATTTGACAAGCATGAGAAAAGGTAAGAAAATTATAGAAAAGGGAAGACAAAGAGAAAAAGGGGAAGTTGACATGTCTAGGGAACTGAATTGAAAGTAGAATAAAAAAAAAGAAATAGAAATATTGATGTCAATCTTAGTACACAGGAAGGCTAAAATAGGCAAAATTCACAGGAATTAGATGTGCAAGGTGAAAAAAGTCACGAAGGTATAAGAAGCTTGTTTTATTTTAAACATCATTCATTGTTCAAAAAAAGAAATGATTTTATGGTAACTTAACATGCCATGTGTTATTTCTGTCAGTGGAGGGATGAGATTGGTACCAAAATTTAAAATTTGAGGACAATTTTTACACTTTTTAAAGTTTAAGGATGGATTTGACACAAATCAAAAAGTTAGGAGAGTAAATTGATATTTTAACCTTTAATTTAAAAGAAATTGGAGAATGCTAGAATATTTCTCTCCTCTCCTCTGTCCTAATAAAGTAAGATTTCTCATTTCCCTTCACTCCTATTGCAAATAAAATTACGTTTCAATTAATATTATCTTGCATTCTAAACAATGTGTCTTAGAGACAAAAATACTAACAAATATGGTAGAAGAAAATGTATCTGAGATTTTAATTAATTTTATCTTTTCATGATTATAAACTGTTCAAATTAAGTTTTAAATTATTGATTTTGTAAATATTAAATCCCATATTCTTCTACTTAAATATTTTTATATATAAATTAGATCCAATTTCAAGTTACAAAATATATGCAATAATGAGACCTACCTGTATTTGTCAAAAATGTTTTCACCACAAAGGTCCTTGAGCACGGTTGTGACACGAAAGGCCCCCAATTTGCACGTCTGGTCGACATCATGTTGGACATTTGATTTGGTTTTACCGTGGAAATGCTGCTTCCTCGAAATTGCAGCTAGTTTTGCCGGTGTTGACACACAGCTTCCCATGGGATTTTAACTGGCTTTTTGCTCAATATTATCATGAACATCCCATGGGAAGAGAGATGTTTAGAGAGATAAAGAGACTTTTGTAGAGGAAGGAAATGGGAAACCCGAAGTAGGGGATGAGAGGGGAGAGAGAAATTAAACAAGAGACTAAATTTGGTTTGTGGAATTGAAGAAAGAGAGTAGAAGGAGTTTAGAAAAATAGTTAGTGGTTTCTGTCAATTATGTCCCGCCATTTTCTTTGGGCAGTTTTAAAACTGTTATCTCTAACCTTCACAAAACCATTTATAACTACCTAAAATTTGAAGTAATGAATTCCTATTTTGGTTCTTATTTCTTTTTTTTTTTTATCGACAAAATGAAGATTAATTAAATTAGAAACAGGAGTAGAAGGGGTACTCCAACTCGTTACATCATCTTGTAATAATCTTGACTTACAGAATCAGAACAACCCACTACTTAATCACAAACTAATTCTATTTCATTTCAGTGCTTCCTTAGGATTCTTCCACCATTGTTCTTTGGCAAGATCAGAATTAGTCTTGGCCTTAAGCTAGAGAAGTGAGCGTATCTTGATTAATTCCAGCACTGTGTCAAGATTGTCCTTGCCTTCCTTGAAAGTTAATTGGTTTCTCCAAAGCCAAATAGACCAGATGACTGAGAACCATGACACATACCAAGCTTCTTTTAATTTTCCATTTCGTATCATGCCTGTGTGTTGCTGCAGATGCCTCCAACCTTCACATGTAAGAACACCTTGCTATCCCCACCATGCATAAAATGCTTGCCACACCACCCAGGTTACCTCACAAGTGAAGAATAAGTGGCTTGTTGTTTCCGTTTGTTTTCCACAAAAAATACATGCAAAATCCAATTCACCTCCACCTATACCTCTTGTTAACAAATTTTCACCAGTAGGAATTCTATTTTGCAAAAGTTTCCACACAAAAGCTGAGACTTTAAGTGGCACTATAGGATTCCATACCTTGTTTAATTGAATTGATTCTTGCTCCTCTACATTAATATTTAACAGGGAGTAAGCAGATTTTGTTGAGTAAGATCCATTTGGATCATGCTTCCAACTCCAGTTGTCTTGCCTTCCTTCCTTCAGTTTACTTTCTTGCATCAGCTTCTCAAGATCCTGCAATAAGGAATGCTCTCGTCCAATCAATTCCCTACGCCAACTCCACTTCCAAGACCATTCTCCATTCCTCCATTCGCCCATATTTTTAATCAAAGCTTCCTTACTTTCTGCCACTCTGAATAGCCTGTTGAATTTCTCCTTAAGAGTCATCTCCCCACACCATTTTTCCTGCCAAAATAGTGTGTCGTTCCCTTCCCCCACATTTTTCACCAAGCCCTTGTAAACCCATTCCTCGTTATGCCCTACTTCTTTATCTAGCTTCCACACTGCCTTCCACCAATATGAACCATTAGGCTTCACATTTTTCCCTTCCCAATCCCTTTTCTTATGGACCCCATATTTTGCCTCTACTACCTTGTTCCATAATGTCTCTTTTTCAACCACCAATCTCCATCTCCATTTTCCTAAGAGAGCCATATTAAATCTGCCCAAGTCTTTAACACCTAATCCTCCCTTTTTTCTACTTCTACATACTTTCTTCCAACTCACCCATGCTATTTTCCTACAATCCTTCCTACCTCCCCATAGAAATCTCCTTTGAATTAAGGCCAGCAACTTAGATACCTTTTTGGGTGCTCTCATGGTTGAAAAAAAGTATACCGGAATACTTGATAGGACAGCGTTAAGGAGGACGATTCTTTCGCCAAAGGACAGTGATTCGCATTTCCAGTTTGACAATTTGTGCCTCAAACAGTCAATGACAGGTGCCCAGGTTGATAGCTTCGTCAAGTTAGCTCCAACTGGTATCCTGAGATATTTGAATGGCGTCGCGCCCGCCACACAATTTGGAGCTTTTGCCCATTCACTTATATCCTCTACCTTAACATTGATTCCATATAAAGCACTTTTGAAGAAATTCACTTTGAGCCCCGATACAAGCTCGAAGGTTCGGAGGATCCCTTTGATTGCTCTAATATTTGAGTCTATTGCATCATAGAAGAAAATGGAGTCATTAGCAAATTGGAGGTGTGAAACCTCTAGTCGTTCCTCTCCCACCTCCACTCCCTTGTACATATTTAACTCTTTTGCTTTGTGAATCAACCCGTTAAGTGCTTCAGCAACTAAGAGAAATAAGAATGGAGCTAAGGGATCACCTTGTCTTAAACCTTTTTTCATGCTGAATTCCGCTGTAGGACTACCATTCACCAGAATAGAAACAGTTGAAGTAGCTAAGCATTCCATGATCCACTTTCTCCACTTCAGACAGAATCCGAATTTTTCCATCATCAAATTTAAGAAATTCCAGTTAACACTATCGTAGGCTTTTTCAAAATCAGCTTTGAAGATTAGTGTGGGCCTCCTTCTCTTCTTAGCTTCATGGATAACCTCATTTGCAATTATAATACCATCTGCAATGTGTCTCTTTCCTACAAATGCTGACTGGTTTTGGCTAATAATCAACCTTCCTCAATCTATTTGCAAAAAGCTTAGAAATTATTTTATACAAGCATCCGATTAGGGAGATAGGCCTGTAATCCCCTAAGCCTTGCGGAGATTCTTTCTTTAGGTTCAAGGCTATGAAGGATAAATTGCTTCCTTTCACCAGTTTCTCGTTCACCCAAAATTCTTTGACAAAGGCTATAATGTCTTGCTTGATGGTTGACCACATTCTTTTAATGAAGTTGAAGTTGAATCCGTCAGGTTCCGAGCTTTTACTCCCATTACAGTTCCACATTGCTTCCTTTACTTCTTCTTCTGAGAACTCTGCCGTCAGCCAGCTGTTATCCTCTAGACTCAGTTGCTTTAGGTCAGTTATCTCTAGGATAAATTGCTTCCTTTCACCAGTTTCTCGTTCACCCAAAATTCTTTGACAAAGGCTATAATGTCTTGCTTGATGGTTGACCACATTCTTTTAATGAAGTTGAAGTTGAATCCGTCAGGTTCCGAGCTTTTACTCCCATTACAGTTCCACATTGCTTCCTTTACTTCTTCTTCTGAGAACTCTGCCGTCAGCCAGCTGTTATCCTCTAGACTCAGTTGCTTTAGGTCAGTTATCTCTAGGATAAATTGCTTCCTTTCACCAGTTTCTCGTTCACCCAAAATTCTTTGACAAAGGCTATAATGTCTTGCTTGATGGTTGACCACATTCTTTTAATGAAGTTGAAGTTGAATCCGTCAGGTTCCGAGCTTTTACTCCCATTACAGTTCCACATTGCTTCCTTTACTTCTTCTTCTGAGAACTCTGCCGTCAGCCAGCTGTTATCCTCTAGACTCAGTTGCTTTAGGTCAGTTATCTCTAGGATAAATTGCTTCCTTTCACCAGTTTCTCGTTCACCCAAAATTCTTTGACAAAGGCTATAATGTCTTGCTTGATGGTTGACCACATTCTTTTAATGAAGTTGAAGTTGAATCCGTCAGGTTCCGAGCTTTTACTCCCATTACAGTTCCACATTGCTTCCTTTACTTCTTCTTCTGAGAACTCTGCCGTCAGCCAGCTGTTATCCTCTAGACTCAGTTGCTTTAGGTCAGTTATCTCTAGGATAAATTGCTTCCTTTCACCAGTTTCTCGTTCACCCAAAATTCTTTGACAAAGGCTATAATGTCTTGCTTGATGGTTGACCACATTCTTTTAATGAAGTTGAAGTTGAATCCGTCAGGTTCCGAGCTTTTACTCCCATTACAGTTCCACATTGCTTCCTTTACTTCTTCTTCTGAGAACTCTGCCGTCAGCCAGCTGTTATCCTCTAGACTCAGTTGCTTTAGGTCAGTTATCTCTAGGCTAGGTCTGTCCCATTCATCCTCCTGGAACTTGAGTTCAAAATATTCTTTGACTGTTTTTTTCACCTCTGGGACTTCCTCAACCCATGAATTATTCTTCATAACACCTTTTATCCCATTTCTTCTTCTTCTCTTCACAATGCATCCATGGAAAAATTTGCTATTGGCGTCACCTTCCTGGAGCCATTTCTGCCTTGACTTTTGAAATAACAAGCTATCCTTTCTTGAGTTCCACTCCCAGAATTGCTGGAAGAAAGATCGCCTTTGTTCAATTTCAGATTCTGATAGACCTCCATTTTCGGCTATGTCATCAAACTTCTTGATCTCACCTCTTATCTTCTCTAATTTCCTGTCAATGTGCCCAAACACCTCCCTATTCCATTCCTTTAGGTCATTCTTTAGCATTTTAAATTTCTCCTTCAATCTGAACCCATTCCAACCCTCCACATTGTAGCTTTTCCATTTCTCCTGAACAAAAGGGCAGAATTCTTTCAGTTCAAACCAGCAGTCTAGAGTTCTGAAAGGCTTAGGCCCCCAATCCTTACTTGAGCTAATTAGCATTACTGGGCAGTGGTCTGAAATATCTCTACTTAAACCTTTTTGAATTAGATCAGGAAAGTTTAAGAGAAACCCAGTAGACACCAAGAATCTATCTAGCCTACTCATTGCTGAACCATCAGACTTGAACCATGTAAACTTCCTTCCCATCATCGGCAAGTCTTCTAATCCTGCTTCATCAATAAAGCTGTTAAAGTCTCTCATGGCAGTAGAGTCAAAATGTCTTCCTCTTTTCTCTTCTCTACTACGGATTGC